TAAATTGGCTTTCACTGCCTTCTCAGAAGAAAACCATGAGTGACCGATTCTAAGTCGAGTAAGCAGTATTTCCTCCTTCCTGTTCCTAGAAGTATCCCAGTATTCGTCTTTAGTTTTCTCACTTTTTAGCTTATTATCAAGCTGATAATTCCAGAGTTTCTGCCATTTATCTAAGATTTTCTATTTGATGAACCTGTTGATATCATCAGAAGGGACAAGCCAACTGGACAAATAGATTGCAGACTTTGCTGTGGCATCTTCTAGCTTGTTACCCTTTATGCTCACATGTCCAGGTATCCAGCAATACAGGAGCTCGTATCCATGATTTCTTAATTTTAAATCGAGAATGAGGATATCTACTATGACAGGATTCAGGATATCAGAAAATGATTCTAATACATTAAGAGAGACAGTACATGTTATAAATTTTTTCTGGCTTAGCATGAATATAAATGACAGTACACAATATATAGCAGTTAATTCTGATGTGAGGACTGAGCAAGCGTCGGGCAGACATCTGCCTAATTTGTGGTCTCCAGTAATGATGATACACCAACATATCCTGCTGCATTCAATCTATCAGAACATAATCACTGTGCTCAAGAAAAAGTTACCTATACACCAATATGTTAGTATCTTTTTTGTCAAGATGCTGGAAAATATCAAGAAGCTGAAACTAAACTTCTCCCAGGATGCTATTTCAAAATGCTTCACTGCCTGGGTGCTTAATTGTGCCATCTAATATTCTTGAATTAGTGAGAGAACCATCAGAAAGAAAGCACATAAGAAGGTCGAGCATCAAGCAGATGCTCATACATATGATCTAATAAAAACAGCTTACAAGGATGATCAGGTTATGATAATATCTTAATAGCAAAAAGAGAAAACTGCTCACGTCTTAACTTAACTGGAGGTTCATAACAGTCAACATACAGACTTTACACTGGAGAACTTCCGAAAGCTTCAGAACAAACCCACAATGTCTTATGGTGAACAGGATCTAGTCTCAATAGCACAGAAGGCCATGTTGATCCATAAACAACTGAGCCGTAATCTAATTCTCTAACAGAAAAGGACTCTGTAAATGCAGAACACTGAGCCACATTCTGCACCCCAAGTGGTATTCGCCAGTACCTTTAAAATATTCTCGGTCAAATACCAACCCTAAAAATTTTATTTCGGGTACAACTGGAAATTGTGAACTTTTAAGATGAAGCTCTGGCTCAGGAAGGACTCACTTTCTACAAAAGTGCATGCAAGTGGTCTTCTGTTCTGAAAACACAAATCCATGTTTCCTTGGCTACGTCTGGATCCTGTTAAGAGAGATCCGGAATTCTCTCTCCATATAATTTCATATCTGCCCCTTGTCAACTTATCTGGAGATCATCAACATATAATGAGCCTGAAACAGTTGGAGGAAGTTCCTTTAGAACAGAATTTATTTTTAAACTGAAAAATGTAACACTTTGAACACAGCCTTGAGGCGCACCCTCTTCTTGTGCAAAGGCAGGACTTAAAAGAGAAGGGCTAGCTCATAGAGCTTTTCTCCCTGGAACAGGCAGTGGGGAGTGATGACGTAGCTATGATGACACTGAGCGCGGAGATGCAATTGACAACATAGAAATTGGCGTTTTAGATCTAAAGAACCAGCGTTTAAAATGAGCTGTGTGTGAAAGATGGCTACAATTGAGAAGAGACAATGTTACTGCAGTATGCATTTTACACTGAACATTAAAAAATATAATAGTACTTACTGAATTTTAAAATAACAGATAAAATGCGCTACTCTTAGCATAAAGTTCCTTTTTTTTAAATTTGCAGGGATTTTTTTTTTTCTTTAAATGCCTGTTTATTTCTAATCATTTCTTTTATCTGCATGCTAACTAAGAGAACTGTACTACTGCTTCTAAGATAACTATAATAACAGCTATTTAAAATTAATCAAAAAACAACCTTAAATTGACATAGTTTTCAAAATTTCTGCTAATTTAAGTTTGAATTTCAGCCTAATTGTAAATTTTACATTGGCATATTTTTCTCCCGATTCAATATAATAACACATGATTTTTTTAAATAATTTTGTAATTTAGGCTTACATCAATATTACATTTAAATAGATGCATGTAAGATTGTTATCTTAATTTAGACAAAACAACTTTACTCACAGTACCTAAAAAAATTATTTAATTTTTCAAAAGTAGGGGTTAAGAAGGCAGGTTTTCTTATGCCAATTACTTTAATGTTATACTATTATATTTTATCTAGAATGTTAAGCTAGTACAAAACTGAATCAATAATAACACAGGATACAATAAAAATAACTTTAACAATAACTTAACAAAATTAGTTCTCATTTGAAATATGCTTTATGCTATTAATTTCTAAAATGTCATCTAGAAATATTTCAAATCAAAACATATTATATATGCTTACTTGTACAGTCACAATGCAACTACAAGTTGTTGAAATATTATTTATTGGCTACCACATTCGAAGCAATCCACTTTTTTGCCTTTTGGGTTGCTTTTCTTTGGGAAAAAACATATGCATTTCTATTTAAGAAACGTATTCTACAGAGCTCTTATGACAATGCAACGTGAAATATCTTCACTAGTCCACCTGATTTTTTCCTTCTTTCCTTTTCTTTTCTCTATTTTACAATATTTTATTACAATTTTCTAAGGATATTATTTTGTTCTTCAAATTATTAATATATTCTTGTTTATCTTTACACTTAGGTCATTCTGGGATATTGTCACTTAGGGCATTGTCACTTCTAAATTTATTTCAAAATCATTCACATTTGATTTATTATTGTCAGCTTCAATTTCATTCTTGGCCTCAAAATAAATTTTCTTTGGGCTTAATTCATGTAGTCTTTCAAAAGCACTCTACATTAGTTTTCTTTTCAAATGTCTCCGATTTCTTGGTGTTATTTCGTTTACTGCACACGATAAATTTATTTTCGGCACAGTATTGCATTTCAACAGTTTCTTTTGCGCAACCCAGGCAAGCGATTTCTCGTGTCATCTTCATAATCACTGCACAGAAAATGTTTGCTGCAAATTCTTGCGTTTTTCACATTAATAGAATCATGTCTTCGACATTTATGTATCCATTCTTTCGACAAAAGCAAATTGTCCTTTGGGAAAGCATGAAATACAATATCTCTTCCTTTCGTATTTCTATAAGTGTTACGGCACGTTGCTACAGCACAAGAAGCCATATTACATAAAAGATACTTTAAATATAGAATTTAAAAGGGAAACTGACTAAAACTATATATACATATACACACACAAATTATTAAATATTTGCATTATTAGAAAACAAATATGTATGATTAAAATTAATTTGGGATATGCAACCTCCAGAAAATCATCTTGCAACTGAATGAAACTACAGTTTTAAACGCGCGAAATCAGAGCAGGTTCAACACAGACACGTCAGATTACTTCCAGTTAACCCCTCCATGAGGCTCGCGTCGGCGAGAAGTTGAACAAAGGAATGACCTAGCCCTTCTATTTATCCCTGGTGCAAAGGTATCTGATAAAACAAAGCCAATTGTTACTTCAAAAGTCTTAGCCTTCAAGAAATTCTGTATGAAAATAAGTAAGCCACTAGCATGAATATCGCATAAAACACCATATCCCCATGCCCTAACGTTTTTCAATGTCAAAGAAGACAGAAATAAAGTGGTTTCTCCTAACAAAGGCTTTACAAATAGTGGTTTCTTAATAATAATAATCAAGTTGGCGTCAGGAATATAAATTATTCAGCAAATGTAAAATCAACAAATGTTTTGATGCAGAATATTTTGGCTTGAGATACTATGGAGCAAAAAGGATACTACGGAGTCAAACTTTTAATCATTCAGACTTATGCTAATAAATAATATTTTCTTCAGTATGAAGTATTTAATTTACAGCTGAAGTGAAATTAAGAATCAGGACGTTCTGTGCTTTACTGGGAAAAAATATTAAATGCACACATGAAAGCAAAATTAGACAAATTTCTGAGGAAAAAAAAAAAAAGTTTGGTAATGGTCCGGATTCAAGATCATTTTAGAATAAAGTGCAAAAGTTCAAAAGGATTACCCTTCCATGTTCCTATTTCATTATCTCTAATGGTAAAAAAGCTCTTGAAATACTTCTCTTAACAAGGAATTTTTCATAATGAATGTAATCACAATCATAATTTAGTTAATATTCATAACTGAATGAAGTGAAATTCAGAATTAGGACTTCTGTGTTTTACTGAAAAAAAATATTAAATGCACACATGAAAGCAAAATATGACAAATTTCTGAGAGAAAAAAAAGTTTGGTAATGGTCCAGATTCAAGATCATTCTAGATACTGGACATCCGGATTTCACACTTTGTATTGCATAACAATATTTTTAACTTTGTTCTGGAGACAGTATTTTAGAATAAAGCGCAACAGTTCAAAAGGATCACCCTTCCATGTTCCTGTTTCATTATCTCTAACAGTAAAAAAACTCTTCAAATACTTCTCTTAACAAGGAATTCTTCATAATTAATGTAATCATGATCATAATTTTTACTCAAAAGTTTTGATGGAATGCAAAAGGTATGCAGCAGTTGAAATCTCATGTTGATTTCTCTCAATACCTGAAATAAAAACTACTTTTTCCCCTCCATTTAACTTGGTATGCAATTCAGAACTTCATTATTCTTTAAGTGTCTTGACAATTCACATGATTAACTCCTATAAAATAATATTTGCTGTGAAAAATGTCTACCCTAAAACTGTGTTGCCTGGAGAGGACTGTTCCCTCTATCTACACCACACCCGCATGGTCATCATCTTGTTTCAACAACACAGCATCGCAATGAATATTGCGAATGATTGAACAAGATTTAGGCAAAATTTCTACAGAATTTGTACCAGTATTGGCAAGATTCTATGCAAGATTATTAGCTTTCAAGTTAATACTGATAAGGAATTTATACATATATATATATCATACATAACTCACCTGCTTTGTTTGAAGCAATAAACCCAATCCAAAGTTATCAACACCAGCATTGTTACTGACAACAGTTAAATCTTTGATACCTTTCTTATAAATAGCTGAGATAAGATTTTCAGGAATTCCACATAATCCAAAGCCTGTAATACACATATTAAGTTAATTTCTATCGAGAAAAATAAATTAGAAAAAGAGATTATGAGGTTTAAAATTTAACACTCAACATGTGATTTCTTTCAGAAAAGACAAAATATAAATACCCCAAACTCTTATTACTTGTGCTAATAATAAATGGATACGCAGGAATAATTGAAATAAGAATTGTGTAAAAATGTAATTAATGCATAGGAATCTGAAAAAGCATACTTTTCAGGGGGGTTTAAATAAATAGCACACAGTGAACTGCTATTATAGGCTTTCACTAAAAAAATAATAGCAAAATTTACACCTATTTTTTAGCTATCTTTATGAAAAATCTATTATAATATTCCTTTTTTTTAACAGTCATGTTCAAATTCTTTCAGACAATATGGCAAACATAAAAAGTCATAATACTATTTTAGCTGCTCTTAGTTTATTCATTTTATAATTTGTCTATTTCAATATGACATGCCCACTTTTTTTTTTCTTTCATCTTCATATCCCCTTTGAATTTCTGTATATCTTCTTCTGTATTAATCCTATAGCTTCACGAGTCACATTTCCTCCATGCACATTAATGTGATAATCTTTGGAAAAATGAAATAGCTGACATGGAATTTTTGCATACAAGAGAAGAAAATTATACAGTAGATTCTATGCTCTAGAAAAGCAACATTTTTTGCATTAGGCCAGAAAGGGCTTGATCCCCTTTCACATGATGAAACTACCATCAACATTTGACTGAAAAATATATACAAACAATATTAATTATCTTATTTTTTATATGATGCAGACTACTTTCTACTTATTAAAGTGGATATGTTAAAGGACACAAGTTTCATGTGGCATTTCAATAATTAACTATAGGAAGAGAATGATAAAAATTTCTAAAAGCTGCCTTCAGAAGCAATCAGAAGATCTATTAAAATTATATTATATATATATATATATATATATATATATAAAGGCTAAATAAATAAATAATATATAAAGAGCATAAAATGGAACCTGTATGTGAGAGCTTAAACAGCAATACAGTTGTTTCATTCTAATATCAGTTTTCTACAGATTCAGTCAAAAAATACTTTTGTTGCACAACCTGCATATAAATTATCAATACACATACTAAATAATATATTAGTCAACTATTTGACCAAACTTGATTGGTCCACTGGCTGTAAATAATTGACCATTATGTTACTAATACATAATGGTCAAACTCATCATTACATATTAGTTTGGGCTAAGCAATCTGGTCAACTATCTCGAGAAACGAAATGCAGATTTTCATGATTGATATGATAAAGATAAATGGTATTTAATGAATGATAATTTTGCTGTGAAATCTCATATCCAGCAGAGAGTGATGAAGTGCGCACACTTTATGTTGGTACCAGCAATTTAAGCTACTGCAGTCATTTTAACCAAGCAGGTAAGTCTTTTAACATCTGCATTTATTGATCACACAAGGTCATTACCATCTCAGTATCTACTATCTGTTTCACTATCTTTTTTCTACTTTCCATAGATATTAAGAACAGAGTCTTTAAATACCCAATGAGAAATGCTTCAGAAAGTACCCTCAATCCTATCTTTGGGCTATCCAATCTAACCTTTTTAACATTGCTTAAATCAACAGTCTTCTCCATTACATACATATATAGTTAACACAATAATGCTTCAAAAAATAATCCCCAACTGCCTTTACAATAATATTTCTACCTTGCCCTGTCCCTCTACATCTTTCCAGCAAGTGCATTCCAAACAGTGCGGTAGATGTTATCATAATGTCATGGCTGATCATTTGACATATACATATGTTGGGCTTATGTACATTACGTTTTCCCCAATTATACTGTATAAAGTTACTTTATTGCAGTAATTCATTATCCAATTCTTTTTTAACTCTGTAAATATCTTTCATTATTTAAATTATGACAATAATAAACAATAATTCAGACAATACGTAATCTTGTCTCACTCCAACACTGATGTTAAAATTCTCAGATAGGGTTCATTTATCAAAATGGAGCATATACAGCCAACAAGTAATTTCCTGATGATGCTTATTATTTTCTCAATTAAATAAATTTTTATTATCCTGGGCTACCAGAAGGAATCTTAGAAAATGCTAGCCAATATGCAATTTTCTGATGATGCTGATTATTTTCTCAGGTACTGCACAAGTTTTCAATATCCCGCCTTAGCAAAAGCAATCACAAATGCCTACAAACACTGTCAAAAAGCAATCTCAGAGAAGCTCTTGAATTAAGTGATCAGCTTTTGACAGGCCTTTAAGAACTAAATAGTTTTGCTCCAGTCAATATTTATCATGAAAAAAGAAACATACTTCACCATTTTATAGGGAAAATTATTCATAATTACTCAGTGTTTAAAATTCATGCAGTCCTATGATTCCTATGTCAATCTGTGTTTGTCTCTGACATGCATCATTTGTGTTTCAATTATGATTCTGGGTAAAAAATTTGATTAGAGTTGACTTTAAGGGTACCCCTTGTATTATTGTGAAGTTGTTGTTTCATTTATCGCCAAGTTGTTGTATCATTTATGGTAACCTGAGTAGTTGAATGTTATGGAAACCCTATTGTATGATGTAATCGCTTGCATTATTCTGGGAAATTTTGAATCATGGGATGTTTTGCAACAGCTTTTGTGGTGTGTGCTGCTTAGGAAGTGCATTGCTTGTTTCATTGTTTAGGCAGTACAATGGCTGAATGTAGTAGGATTAATTTGAAGTTTCTGTACGATTTCGAATGAAAGGGGAGAAGTGCATTAATTGACTGGTGTGTAAATGAAGGTTTACTTAGTAGCCACAGTCCGGAACTATGTAGTATACTTTTGACCCTTACTTTTGTGAATTTCTGTGGTGATGCAGATATACGGTTTGTAGTTCAGATAATTTTAGGAAGTTTTTGTATGCTGTTAAGGAATTTTGTGTGCCACAGACTGAAGACGAACGAATTTCTAAATAAGGTAAGAGGATATTTACTTTGTGTAGTGCTAAAATACATAACAGGTTTTTCCTTTTCTGTGTTATTTTATTGTTTGGTTTAAAATGTAGTTTATTGAGATTATGTAATTTTTGATTGCCTCTACTGTAGAATTGGGTGCTCCTTTGACTTATTAAGTGAAAATATATCGATGTTTACATGGACAAACTCAATGGAGTGCGTAAAGCCTAGTTTGTGCAATTCTCTGATGTTTTTTTAAGTGAAAATAGGTCAATGTGTACATGGATACCGAGTTTGTGCAATTCTTTGACTTGTTATTTTGGCTTGCATAGCGGCAATTTTCGTGCCAAAAATCGCCGCTACGCAGGCCAAAATAACGAGTCAAAGAATTGCATAAACTCGGTATCCATGTACCGCCAAAAATCGCCAAGGGGTACCCTAAAATATACCAAAAATTTTGCTTAAAGTAAAATTCATTTCTAAGATGAAAATGAAGCATCAAAATAATAATAATACCTGAGACAAATAAAAAATTTCTCAGAATAAAATAAAATACATAAATAACCAATGTAAAATACTACAGATAAAGAAAACATTCCCCTCTTCCTCCCAAAATAAATAAATAAATAAAACTAAAATTACCAATTCAATGTTATATAAATTTTAGTGATTTTGAAAGTTTATTTGGATGTTTGTAATTTAATCATTCAAACATTATCTGACTGATCTTACATAAAATTTTGCACGTAAATAGGAAATTATTTATTTAGTGCACAGGTCATCAAACATTTAAAATTTAATTTTGTTCTCAAAGGATATCAAGAATACTGTACAAGCCATACTAATAAAAACATCTATGAATTTTCATTAATGACAACAAATGGTGCACATTTTTCACATTTACTACAGAGTAAGGTTAACATGAAACACAAGCAACATTAACAGTATTTAAATAATAATATATAAACATGTAGATAGATAAAATATAAACATGTAGCATTTTAAATTATTCCAATATTGACTTAGTATATTTATATATATTTCCTTTTGTGGAAAGGGGGGATTAAGAACTATCGTAAGATCATTCAGAGATTTTAAGATTTAAATGATCAGCGAATGGTAGTGATATTCTGATTTGTGCCCCTATAGAACACCAGGCAGAATCAAGTAATACACCTGATTTTCTAGAAATTATAGACATATCAAAATTATATTAAAATAATTATAGCCATATCAAATTTTCACATCTGGAAAGTATAATGCATAAATAACAATGTTTTATAACATGTTTATATATACTAATACTTTATAACGTGTTCATATACTACAGTCAAAAGTTGTTAATCCAGACTCGTCGGGACCTCGGCGATTCCGGATTATAGATCATCAGTTTAAATCTGATAGGATGGCATGCAGAAATTATAAAATTAAAAATACGAAACTGTAATTTATGAAATAAAGAACACTTATGATCTAAAGGGTATCAAAATTTACAAAAAAAAAAAGCTTAATATTTGTTTACTTTATTAAACATTTCTTTCAATGTAAGTTGCTTCGTTTTATGTGATAATACTTTCTCTTTAATTCTATAAACAGACATAATTTCTTGTTCAGTTACAAAGTTCCGATGTTCAAGTCCTATAATTGCTGTGTCGAGAATACGGACTAATTTGTCAATCGAAATTTGTTCGTTTTCAATAACCTCTGTGTCACTTTCTTCACTATCGGAGCAAATTATAATGACGAGGAATTTGATTTAAATCATATCCAAGACGGAATACATCGAGATGAAATACTACATTTAGTAAGGAATTATAAGCCAAATAAAATGAAAACATCTGCCCTGAAGATAAGGATAGTGCTGACAGATCAAATTCCAATTCATTGTGCGACGCGGTGTTCCCCCCCCCCCCCGGCCGCAGAGCAGCGTGAAATTGATAAACAGATTTCGGAATGGTGAGGTCATTTTTTGCAGCAATTCCACTTTTGTTTAATGGACTTCAAAACATACTTTCACTTTGTAGATCCTTTACATATTAGTAAATAGATATCGGAAATTCTATTTGACATAATCGAAAGTTCAAGCTTACTTTTATAAAATTGCTCTAACAGTCTGCAAAAAAATTATAAGCCGGATCCAATTCGAAGATTAAGGAACAACACAATCTGCAACATTAATTGAATTAGATAATTTTAGCTTGGCTTATACCGTCCGTTATACATTAAACGCGCATGCGTAAACGTATTTTGCGCATGCACACACGCATATTCGCAGCCGTAAAGGTCTTACATGCATGCGTCAACGCTACGCATGCGCAGAAAGTTTGTAGCTTTGAGGTCCGGATTATGGGTGTCCGAATTAACGACTTTTGACTGTATTAGGTTATAGTGATAAATCTTAAAAACAACTAGAAAATACATTACCTGTTATGTATTTTAAAATTTCTAATATTTAATAACTACATATATTACTTTAGTTCATTCATGTACATTTAGATAATAATTAAGTGATGATAAATATCAGATCAATGTACATTTGAAAGTATTATCAGTATCACTACACAATTTTAGATAATACTGCTTCATAAAAAATTTAACAAGCCAGATCTGACAACAACATAGGGCTAGCTGTCTAAGCCAGATTAAGGTTCGATCCTAGCAGAGTCCACACCCTTGGCACCCCCACTTATATGGTGCATATCAACATGTACATGGACAAAATCAAGGGAGTGTGCAATGCCAAGTTTGTGCAATTCTCTGATGTTTTTTTAGTGAAAATAGGTAGATGTGTACATGGATACCGAGTTTGTGCAATTATTTGACTTATTTTCAGGTTGGCAATTTTGAGAAACGTGCGACGCAGTGGACATTCTGCACTTTCCCAGTTTGTCACCAAGGGTGCGGGCTCTCCTTGGATTTTACCAAGATTAAATCTGAGGCTAAAGTGCAGAATCACCCACTTATTTGTTTGGCGTTTTTTTACAAGAGTAAGAATTGGATTTTTGTCAATTTTCTTTGACTTTTAAAGTGAAAATAGGTGGATGTGTACATGGATAAAATCATGGGAGTGTGCAGTACCATTTTTGTGCAATTCTGGGATTTTTTTTAAGTGAAAATAGGTTGACGTGTACATGGATACCGAGTACGTGCAATTCTTAAAAACACGCCAAGCAGTGGGCGATTCTACACTTTCCCCAAATCTGAAATTTATTTATTCATTAAAATTACATATCTTTGAAAGAACTGGATCAAGGTGATGTAATGCATATCATGTTGATGAATGGTGTAATAAATGTAAGATTTTAAGTTAATAAACAAAATTATTATATATGATTACAAACTTTATTATAAATAACAAATAAAGTTAGCAATTTTAAAACTTTTTTCCAACATAAATCATTTTCACAATCAGAAGGAAACTGCCCAATGTTTACTTTCCATAAAAGCATAAATACTAATATATTACTGTTTATACCCATTAACGCATTTATTATTACTTTATAAAACATCATAAGTAAATTTCCGTTTTATCACAGTACGAGATTTCAAAAATCAAATATTAGTCTCACCGCCTACTAAAAGCCTTGCGTTATCCGGTATATCTTGGATAGCTTCAGATGAATTTTCAAAAAATTCAGCCCTTGTACCATAACTCAAAGAAAATCTAGCTTTTGATACCTGAAAGGACTGTAATATTAGAAAATGTATTATGACAATGAATATAATTTAAATGAGAGAATAAAAAGTTTCTTTAGCCAGACAACCTTGATATGACTTAAATAGACTCTGCTAAAACGTAACCACGGGTTAATTCCATACATTTTAAAAATATCAAATAGAGCATGAATTTAAAGTTTTAATTTATCTCCCTACGATCGACATCGCGATAAAATACATGCGGTATCTTGACTCAGTTCATATCTTCAGTTTTTCCCTCTTTTCCCTTTCTCAGGTAGATATACAGTCAACACAGGAGAAGCTAAATACCACACAAAATCTTTCAGCCATAGCCAATAGCCAATGAAATACACACTGTAGCAATCTTGCTTTTGAGCAAGAAGAAAGGAGATGAGGACTTTGGCGAACGCGTATTTTTACTTCCTCCTAAGGAAACGCAACCCACGACTAAATTTGGCGATTTATCGAGTCTTGGCGAAATTGTGACACCACGCGCATGCGCACTGTCGGTTTATGTTTCAAATTTGTGATGGCCGCGCGTATCTCAAACGAAGTGTGAAATGAATATTATTTGATTGATATTCCTACGAAGTAGTGTCTTCCATGTGTGTCAACATGCAAGACTAAATAAGAAATAGGCTAGTTTCAGAAATAAAGAATGTTTAGCTGTGAGAATTTAAAAAAAATAATAAGTATACAAGATGTCGTGACGAGTATGTAAAAAAGAATCTCTACTCTTCGATTAAAGTTTCATTTCGGCATGCACATCGATGTGATGTTGCTGAAGCGTGGAATTGCTTGCGCCCAATTGATTGGGTGAAAGAAGTGTTCATCAACTACTTTCGTGCCGATAAAATAACAATTAATAATATAATATTTTTATTCTGCTATACATCCACAAAATTCAGCGTTCGTAAATACCGTCAAAATGGTGACGATAAAGGCAGTCTCATAAACATGTATCTGAACATAGAATTGTTCTACTTAATGGGCAATATGTTTATTACTTTTCGTGATATTCAGTACCTCATATTTCGTACAATGAATTTTACTTAAGATATCGGCATTATTTTAATTGCTTTGAAGGCATTTTTTGCAACAACTGAAAGCACATTAGATTGCAATTGCTTAGATTATCCATTACATTACGGAATGATGAATAAATTTATAATTTCTATATGTATATTGAAATAAAAGCTTCAGAATATAAAATTATTCAGACACGATATAAGGAGAAATCACTTAACTAATTGATTATTTAATAATAAATTAATTGAATTTGAAGCAATTAATAACACATAGTAACTTTTGATGTAGTTAAATTCTAAATATAATCACAGACTCCTCTGATAGTAACATCAAAAAACATCTACGAAATCATTGACCAAGAGTGCACTTGGTTATGTCTGTCATTAGTTTAAACCTTGGACACATTATAGGTGACGATATAAATTTGCCCAGCTCTATCTCATTTTGAAACAATGACCAGGAGATAGATCCAAAGATCATCTAGCCCTCTTCCGTTCCCATTAACTCTTGAGGACTTATTGTTCCATGCTATATACCAGGGCTTAATTTATAAAATTAGAAGTGCTGGAGCCCTATGGAAGACTGTGACGAAGGAAAGAAAAATTAAATAAATAATTAAAATAGCTAATAATTAGATAATAAATTTAAATTAATTAATTAAATTATGAAAAATGTAAAGATAAAGAGAAATTTAATAAATTATTAAATTAATTTTGAGTAGTTAAATAGGAAAAAGTATCAGTCCTCGTCTTATGTGAGGCATTGTCCGGAATTACAATTCCACTTAGATGCTAGGAAGCAGCTCAGCTAATCTCCGTCTGAGTTTAAACCCTGCTGATTATACATTAAAATGTACTATTCCAAGGGATGACAAGTATCATTCTTTTTTTGTAGCCCCCCAAGGAAAAAAGATAAAACGATTAAAGCTCCACTAAGGAGAAAAGTGAGAATTCTAGAAAGATTATGAGGGTATGGAAGGCAATTTAACTGAAAAGTTTAGCTTTGAAGATAAAGAGGGAAGAGTTCAAGACTACCTGATTCGCGATGCCCTGTCGATATAATTCTAGCCATCAAGCAGAAATTTTCCCTGATTACTTTTCCTGAATACAACGTTGAGAATAAATATAAGACTTCTTCGGTACAAGTGGCAGCAGTGGTCCCTCCGTTTGGTTACATCATTCAGAAAGCCTACAGCTCTGCAGAAGGAAGTCACTAGCATAGAATGTGCACGACCAGGGTGTCACTTTTAGTTCTTTGAGGAATACAAAATTTACCGCTCTCACAAATTCATTGCGTAATCCTGGAAAATAAGCCGTTTGACATATAATTGGGGGCTTTTCCTTCCTCAAAAGGCTCAATCTCTGTGCAAAGCTTGAGTGCAATGGAAAGACAAGCTTGCATTCAGAAGTTAGAATCCGATTTTTAAGACATGTTTACTATTAAAACAAAATTTCTGTGTTAAAATTGTAGTTCACTTGCATAAAAAATGTGCCTGAGCCCTTTTATTTAGGGCTTCGGCTGAAATTATAATTTATTTTGAAAACTGAGAAGTACCGGAGCCGGGCTTCGGCGCAATTTAAGCTCTGCTATATACACAAATGCCACAAAGTGAAGTGAAATTTAAATGCCACCAACTTGCACCCCTTTAATTCTCATTCTAAACTTTTCAAAATAAATACAGATTTATTATATGAATACAGTGCATCAAAACAAAAATATATGTGGTCAGTATAAAGCCATGCTATACAGGATATAAAAAATTGCAGTGACAGTTTCTTTTTCAAGGATGTTCGTGGTCTGAACAACATTTTGTTGTTTAGGAAATGCTGCTTAGCACAGCCAAAAACAAGTTCAGCAAAAATTAAATTAAATCGATGGAACATTGTGCATAATTTTTTTAAAATTTCTGTGGCATATGCTCAGAATGAGAATGTCAAACAGGGCCCGATAAATAGGTTCTGCATGCTTTCATAGAGAACTGGGAGATAAAATACATCTATTTTGAAATGACATCAAAAGGAACAATTTTTAGATTTCATTACAAATGCTTTATATATTGCAGGCCAATGCACAAAGACTATGTTTAGTATTGGAAAAATGCACAACCCATGCTGTACGACATGTAAATTATATTTATTTAATGAGAATATAAAAGTGTAATAAACAAATAAATAAGACATAAATATTTGGCTTAGTTCACTCATAAAACGAAGATGACTTAGCTGATCACATTGTTGCTATCTTGAGCAAGTTATCACATATTTTAACACTGTTTTTTGCAGTTCCCATATAACAGAAAAAGTACCTACATTTCTAATAACAGTTTTTAAATGGAACACTATCATTATGAGTTATAAAATATACTTATGTCTTATTAGAGCAAGTTATTAAATTATAATTATAGAAATTTTTTAAAGTTTGAAAACTAACAGTCTCTTAATGGAAGAAAAAGCTACAGAAATGATAATTACTTATGTCAAAGTAAGAAAAGATATCTTTATAATTTATTTAAATCTTTTATTAAAGGGATAGTAATAATCAATTACTCAAGTATATGTTAAAATCTAAAATAAACCTAACACTTATAAATGTAATAATTACTTAACATGATCTTTCAAAATATATTACCTAACTATGTTACTTCTGATTAACATTTCTTATATGATAAAATATTTCTCAGATTGAATTTTTCTTTAAAACTTAAATATATATTTCGAATATAATGCCACTCTTGATATGTCCCCATATATAGTGGCTCCCAAAAGTGTTCGTACACTTGCGATTTTCATTGAAATAAGGCTCTATAAATTAATTAAAATTAAACTTTCTGAATGAGATTTTAATAATAAGATCTATAATCTATTCGTAACAAAATTACATGAAACATTTTTAAAATATAGCGAAACTTTATTTTTAAGTAATTAATATTCAAAATATGACAAACATATTATTTCACAAAAATCTTTGTATGCTTCAAAAAAATCTTGACATAATAGTAAATATTTTCATTTTTCATTAAATTAATATTTAGTAGGATATCCTTTAGCATCCACAACAGCTTTTAAATGTCTGGGAATAGATTTTACTAGTTTTTTTGTAACTTCTGTATCAATGTTCATTTATTCTTCCATTATGACTGTTTTGAAACGCTTTTCGTTTTAATGTCGTGTTTCCGTACTCTAAACCTCCAGTTCTTTCCAAATATGTTCTATGGGGTTTAAATCTGACAACTGAGTTGGTGTTTTTCAAAACCTGTGGACAATTATAGAGACACCACAGGCGAACATTGAGCTTAGGATCGTTATCATGATTAAAAATAAAGCTGTTTCTAATACCCAAATTTTGGGCTGATAATTTTAAATTGTCTCTTAAAATATTTAAATAAAGAGAATGATTCATTATGCCATCAAGAAATACCAAATTAGATAGTCCTGATGCTGCCATGCACCCCCACACAAGAACACCTCCACCGCCATGCTTATATATTCCATGATTAAAAGTTATTAGAATGAAGTTTCTCATTTTTCTTCTCCATACAGTTATTCGACCATCAGAACCAAAAATACTAAATTCCGTCTTGTCGGCAAGTAGGGCATTATTCCAGTACATTTCGGGTGTATTTATCATTGATTTTTTGAATGAAAGCCTAAGCTTTCTGTTTTTCTCACTAACAAAAACTTTTTACGGGCAGAACGCCCATGTAATCTGGCTTCTCTGAGACTTGTCGAACAGTTTCAGGTGAAATTTAAGTAGGAAACTTTGCATTAAATTCTGCAGAAACTTTTACAGCACTCAAACGTAGGTTTTCACAAATTTTCTAATAATAAATCTCTCATCACATTTAGTTAACTTTCTCGGTCGACACTTATCTTGTTTTCAATCCAATTTTCTTCTTTAAAGTATTTTATCACATACTGCACTGTAGAATGGGATAAATTAATTAATTTAGCAATGTTTCGAATTGATTTACCACTATTATGGTGAAAAATTATCAATTTTCAAATGCTGTTTGTAATTTCTTTACGGCTGTGACCCATTTTTCAATAATAAATAGAATATTATGAAGTAATCAAATTAAAGCAAATGATTTTTTAAATGCCACCACAATACAAAAATTTTAAAAAGCGGCGAACGATAATTCTAATTTTGATTTTATCTAAAAATATTTTAGTGTACGAAGACTTTTGTGAGACAAAATGTTTGTCATTTTTTGATTATTAATTTCTTAAAAATAAAGTTTCGCTATATTTTAAAAATATTTCATGTAATTTTGTTACGAATAGATTATAGATCTTATTATTAAAATCTCATTCAGAAAGTTTACTTTTAATTAATGGATAGAGCCCTATTTCAATAAAAATCATAAGTGTACGAACACTTTTCGGAGCCACTGTATATATATATATAAAGGAAAATATATCTCATTTAGTAAGTGTTTGTATATGTTACAAACTAGACAACAGAAGCAAAGGAAGATGAAATGAGTTAAATAAAAACTGTTAAAATGAATAAATTATTAACGTTTATACATGTACTTGATATTTTATAAGAAACAATACATATCTTAACAGAATTATTTAATAGGTAAATATATACATGTTATAGTTACAGAGTTATTAATACTGAACTATATAGGGTAAACTAAGAATAGTCATTATTAAATTAGGAAAAAATTATTATTATTTTATTGTTCACTTTCAACCAAATATAATCATCATTAAATATCATGGTTTACTAAATCCCAAAAATGTTCAGGAAAGATGTAAAAACACAGATGCTGAGACATGAGCCTTCCATAAGCCGAAAAAAAAATATTTCCCCCCCCCGTATATACTTAATATATATCTTTATTATAATGCGGCCACGCTAATGCAGTGCTAGTAACTGCCAATAGCTCGACACCATAGTCAAGCCATAAAAAATAGAACCGTAAGTACACTGTTGAAAAATGCACCGCCATTTTTTGGTACAGCTTGAGTATAGGACCCCATTGGCGAGTTTTGGCTTGGCGCACTTTTTGGACGCTTGTTTTTCTGGTAAACCAGTAAATTCTAGAATACTCCACATCGGCAACCCTGTCGCATTCCCGCGTG